CTTTCCACCTCCTAAAACTTTTTGTCATAAAAAAGCAAATGGAAGAGTTTGCGTTCCCTAAAGCAGCTCCTGATCTGTCCTCTCTCCATGCAGCTCTCAACCACTCCCTTTTGTTGGCCTGTTGTTGGCTCAGCCCAATTAAGCACAACAAGGGTGTGAGAGAGGAAAATATGCATTTCATTCTTGAGAATAAGTTTAATCACAGCAAAATGGCAATTGACCCAGAAGGCAGTCCCCTTTCCTACCTGGATGACCAGGTTGCAACTAGACACTCACTGGATTGAAACGCCTGCTGCGAATGCTAATTGGCTCTTTTGAATTCAGGTGGTCTCTGCACTTACCGAGGGGACCGGGTGCCTGAGGTTCTTTTTGGGTTGGGGGCTCTGCAGAGGGAGTCCTCTAAATCCCTGGCCACATAGAGCAGGGGTCCTCAAACTTTTTCTAAAGGGGGCCAGCTGACAGGTGCCAGCTGTGGGCGGGGGCCACCAAGGCGGTGCCAGTGGGGACGGGGGCTGGTGAGGGGGCCGGGCACGCACAGCAAGGTGGGGCCAGGAGGCGCAGGGCGAGGCGCTGGCTTGCTCGCGAGGAGATAGAGTCCAAAATGATCTCCCATGAGTAAGCCCTGCACCCGCCCCAGGCAAGGGCAACACCTGTGGGGCGGGCCGGCTCAATGGCCATGGCAGGCCGGATCCGGCTACAAGCCTTAGTTGGAGTACCCCTGACATAGAGGCTCCAGTTGCACTGATAAGCCTTGAGTACAAGACCAGCCTGCCTCTGCTTCATGCTGGCCAGCCAGGTATGTCCTACTGTCACAGCGATCCGCAATTCAGAGGCTCGGAAATCAGTTTCTTGTCAGGGCAAACAAGTTTATTTACAATTGAATGCATGGATCCATGGGTGCCTAAGAAGGAACACCCCATGTTAATTTCCCTAGGGTTATAAAGAATACACAAAAGGGGAGTGAATACAATACACAGGAAGGTGCTTGGATACTTTGATATGGATAGGAAAGTGATTGGATACACGTCACAGCACCATAAAGAATAGTTACCTTTCACTCTAATTAGATGCCTTTGACAGGCCTTCTAAACTAAAGTTACCTTGAACAGGCTGGCCAAGTTAAGTAAACAAAAAGGCTACATGTGTGAACTTACAGGGTTAGGGGGGCACTTTAGCAAGCCTATAAAACACAGAGATTACACTTTGACAGTTACCCCCTAATGGAGTGGGGTTATCTGGTCTTCACCACCAGACACAGAGGCATCTTTTGATGTGTTTATGGCAGGGCAGTGGGGTGGGATGGTAAGAATTGCTTTTCTGAGTACAGGGCAAAGCAGTGTCCTGGGGCCCCTACGACAACTACAATGACTGTGAATTTTGGAAGCTTTCAAATTTTCCAAGGGTTAATATACACAGATTAGTATGGGGCCCACAGGCAAGTGCCCATCAGGCCCGTGCATTAAGACGGCCCTGCCCTGCGTGCCCCCCCACCCCCACCCCCTCACCGGCCCGCGCCTCCCCACCAGCACCACCTTGGCAGCCTACACCCACCACCGGCACCTTTCAACTGGCCCGTTGAAAAAGTTTGAGTACCCCTGACATAGAGGCTCCAGTTACACTGATAAGACTTGAGTACAAGACCAGCCTGCCTCTGCTTAATGCTGGCCAGCCAGGTATGTCCTACAATTTCTTGTCTTCCTTCTCTCCTTTAAATAATGTTTTCCAGTCCTCCCCACTGCAAGTAGCTGCATATTTGGGGGGTCTTCCTGTGCTTGCTTCTGTCTTTCTTTCTGTCTTTCTTTCTTTGACAGACTCTTTGTGCAATTCAGATATAAAATAAACATATTGGGAAAAACAGACAATAACAAATGGGGTTGCTCCCTTGTGGAACCACCTTGCCTCATTCATGGAATTTTAAGGGGATCTGGATGTCAACATCTTCCACTGAAAGACCTCCAGTGTTTTCCCACTACTTCTTCCCCCTTTTACCTTACAACAGAAAAGGTATTAAGGTGGGAAATATGGAATAACTTCCTAATGCCCTCTCTCTGGAAGCACCATTGGTCTGACCCTTGGGCAGAAAAATGAGCAGGAAATGTCCATAAGGTAAATTACTGTACAAACGTACAGTTTAATCTTTTACAGGCAGTATATTTCCACTACTGTAACTTCACTTTAATTAAAATCTGGAGACAATTTCCCTAAAGATGAGATGGTCGGAGGAATTATCTCTGGGGATAAGCTTTAGACTCTGGGGATGCCGGGGCGATGAAATCACTGGGGTATAGCAAAGTCAGAGGCACTTTTCTCTTCCTTCTTACAAAGAGTGAGCCAAGGGCAGTGAAGAAAAGTCTCACTGTTATGGCTGCAGACATCGGTTAGGAAATTGTGCTTTTTACGAAAGTTGATATTTCAGAGCCTGAGATAATTTTGCAAGGGAATTTAAGGAGTATAAGGTCTACATTTTGAAATATTTAAGATTATGCAAATCAACAAATTACCTAATATTCCTCTACCCAGCCAGTGAATATGGTATTTCCATAGTTTCTATCCTCTACTAGAAAAAAAATCACATTTAAGAGGGTAAACTCCAAGTAAAGTTCTGTGACCTCAACTCTCTGGTATGGAACGCTCCCCATTCTGACCTAACCCCAAACCTGCCATGTTACTTGAGAATCTAGGCCCATGGTGGTGGTGGTTGCTTTAACTGGTATTGTTAACATGGAAAAACTATACCACTGACAGCATGCAACCCCCAAAACGTGTTTTTATTGGTAAACACTGAGAGAAAAACACATCAAAAAACACAGGCAATGCTAGAAATGAAACTAAAATACAGTGGTACCTCGGCTCACGAACGCCTTGGTTCATGAACAAATCGGGTTACGAACAAAAATTTCTGAAAATTTTTGACTTGGGCTGCGAACACCGCTTTGGGCGGCGACCAAGATCGCAGCCATCTCCCCCTGCCTCCGAGAGGGGAGATGGCCACGATCCCAGTTGCTTTCGTGCAGGGAATGCATGCGTCATCAGAGGCATGCTGCTGCAGAGCCATGGGGGAGATGGCCGAGATGCCGCCTGTCTTTCCTGCAGGAGTGCGCCTCTGATCAGGCACCCCTTCCCTGCACAAACGGAACTGCGATCGCGGCCACCTCCCCACCCCCAGCGCACCGTTTGCGCCCATCTCTCCCTCCCCCAGTGCGCCTGCAATCAAGCCTGGGATGACGGGCGCCTGCAGGGATGACAGGCGAGTGCAGGGAGGATGAGCGCGATCTCAGTCGTGCTGGCGGAAGATGGCTGTGATCTTTGTTGTTGTCACTTTGCTTCACATTTTTCTGATTTAAAAAATGGTTACAGAACAGATTAACCTTATTTACATTGAGCCTTATGGGGAAATTTAACTTGGCTCACGATCAATTTGGGTCACGACCAGAGTCCTGGGACGTATTAATTCCGTGAGCCAAGGTACCGCTGTATAACAGTACTCTGACTCTGTTTCAATGGGAATTCTTGAGCAGTTCCTAAGAACTGCTAGGGCCTAATCAGCAGTGCTGCATTAGGTGAACACAGTATCCACACAAGAAAAACACCCAACTGCCAACAAGAGATGGCAGGCTGAGCCCATTTCAACAGTTATATCATAATGGCCTAATATGGAAAACACATTCCCCACACTCCAGACCCAAAGCAGACACACCTCCCTGTCAGAACTAAATGCACACAACATATGCTGTATTTTTCAGCACCATTAATTTTGTTTTTGTTTCTTTCACTGCTTTCCAGGACTTTCCAGGATCGTAAATCGCATGGGGGAGTCTTCCAAGGCAATGGTATCTCTGCCGTAGACAACTGACTTCTGCATGTGGAAGGCAAGGATGCTACAGCAGGAGGCAGAGTGAGTGCGTGTTGCCCTCCTCCCCCTCCTCACATGAAGAGGTCGCACACTTCTAGAGGTTAGAAGTATTGGCTGTGCTTGCACAACACTGTAAGCCACAGTGGGTTGTGAGGCATGTTCGTTTCTTGCCATGTTGTTCAGACTCAGCCAGAGTAGCTTGTTAACCTCTCACAAGCCATTCTGGCTGGGTTTGGACAACATGACAAGCCACTGTGAAATAAGCATTCTCACAACCCACCATGGCTTAATGTACTGTAAATTGCAGGGCTTGAGAAAGAAACCATTAAGGCTCACCTGGCAATGGAAGTCTTGCCTCTTCCCTGCAGGAGTTGATTCTTACCTGGTTGCCCTCTGAGGCCTTTCCCAGGTACCACTTGAAGCATGGTGGCTGGAAATGTGCTTATCTTTATAGATGCATTTCTAAGGCCATCTTTTAAGAACAAAATTTGCATTAGGATTTTAGTGAAGCAGACAGATAGAGCAAGTACATGCAATCACGTACTTTGTACATATTTTTGTATTTTATTGTATTTTATTTTGTGTTGTGAGTCGCCACGAGGCTTCGGCAAGGGGCGGCATAGAAATGTTTTAATAAATAAATAATAAAATAAATAAATAAATCACAGCCTTCCAGGACTGGGCCCCTGAGCAACTGCCTAGGAAAAGCCAGTACTGAACCACAGTACCAACCCAGGAGGCAGCGGCAAGGAGCAAGCCAGAGGCTTTCTTCTGACTGGCACCTCCAAGGGAGGTAACAAGGAGAGGCATCTTCTAGACTCCCCAGTTCTATCAACTGGACAACTCGCCTACACTTACAATCAAAGGATCCTGAGCCCAGGAATGTGTTTTGTGCAGGAAAAAGTGTGCGCAAAACCGCTCCAACCCTTTCCACAGTACCATTTGGGGTTGGAAGGGAGGCGTCCCGCTGCTGCTGTAATTAAATCACTGGCAGTCGGGAATCCTGGCCGATCCATTCAGATGCCCGAGAGATCTCAGCCGGCTCTCTGCCCACCCCCGGTTGCTTTGCAAGGGGGAGAAGCAAACTTCCATAGGGCCGGAGCGAAAGTTTCGGGCTGGATGGGAAGATTCCGTGCCATCTGCCCACTAGAGGGCTCTGGGTTTTTCGGCCACCCGAAGAGCGGCGGTGGCGGCTCTTCCTTGGCCCGAGCGTCTTCGTCGTTTTCCGGGTTAAAGCAGAGGGGGCCGCCGCCGCCGCCGCCGCCGCGCCTGCCTGTCATGTTCGCGCTGCGCGGAGGCCTGGCGCGGAGGAGGCTTCGGCGGCCGCTCGGCTTCCCGCCCAGAGCAGCTGCCCCCTCCCGCCGCCCGCGGGCGGCTCTGCGCAGCCGGGGAAGCCCTTGAGCAGCAGCGGGCTGCGCCTGGGAAGGCGCTCCGCGCTGGCCGCGCTCCCTTCGGCCGCGGCGCCAGTCCGTAAGTGCGCGGAAACTCCGGCATGGGCCGCCCGATGGAGGAGGCGACCAGGAGACTGGAAGTGGGGCGCGGAGCGGAGCGCAGAAGAAGGGGCAGAGGGGCGAGAGCCAAGGGGGCAAAAGTATAATTGCCCCCCTCCCCGAGCGACAGGGTGCGCGCCTGGGTTTTAACATGAGCCGCAGCTGAGCTGCATGCCTTCTTTCCCAGTTCCTTTTCCTCCCGTTATAAATCAGTGCGTTTTTTTCCTGAAGTGGAAGCCTCTTAAAAATTTCAGGAGCTCCCAGCAAAATAAAGAATTTCAGGAACGCTGCCTTTCGTACGCAGGGGATCAACCAGGTCGACCTGCAGTGGCTGAAGATTGTGGCAAAATGGTACTTTGCCATTTTGTTAGACACAAATCGAAAGAGCTGCTTTCCCCTTTGCAATAGAACATGTATATCAAAGTCCCCATCTCCACATGATATACTGAGCTAGCTTGAATTCAGCTTGTATAATCCAGACTCTTGCCAGTGTATCACTATTATTTGTGGATTTGATGTTGAATTCCTTTTTTTAAGCCTTCTGTGGCTTACAGCCAAAAGATTAAACTTCTTTCCATGCTTTCCTTTATCTCTCCTGCAACAGATTACCTAATTTCCTTAGAGGATGGATTTCCCAAAATATTCACTTTCACAGGACAGGGAAGAAGAAACTGGGCATTTTGGTGCAATGGCTCTATTTGCTGCCTGCTCGAAAACTGGATGGGTGTCCTCACTTTCCAGGAAAGAGCAAGAAGCCTGCCACCACCTCATTAAGGAAGAAAAAATGGGAACCCACCCTGAGGCCAAGGTGGACCTTTTAAGCCTATTCAAAGACACTGAAGAAGGCAATAGACTGAGATTTCGCTCAGACACCATTCCTTTGGGAGAGCCTCCCCGGCAGACCCTCTTTCGGTTGGGTGAAGCAGCCCAGAGGTGGCTGCAGCCACAGGACCGCACCAAGGGGCAGATTGTGGACATGATTGTGCTGGAGCAGTTTCTGCAAGTGCTGCCGCTCAGAATGCAGGCCTGGGTGAAAGCAAAGAAGCCAAGCAGCAGCGAGGAGGCAGCTCAGCTGGCCGAGGCCTACCTGGCGCAGCAGGTACCATCCAGAACCACTCCCTAAGTGCAGTCCCCATTACCAACGTGTTTGCAGGTCCTAGGGAAGCAAACTGGTGGCCCAAACCAGACAGCCCCAGTTGTTGACAAGCAGCAACCAGAGGGTACAGCACAGTGTTGTGTCCCATGGTTTTGCAGATGAGACCAGAGACCAGTTGGTATTTTAAGAGGAGTTTATTACCTGTGCAGGGACCACACTCCTAGTAAGGGTGCGGTGCCCTGGCAGAAGAACAACGGTGTTTTTATACCTTTACAATCAACTTACAGTCAAGTGAGTGAACAATAGAAAATTACAAAGTCATGTAGGCAGCAGTCTATCAAGTTGAGCAAGCGAGATACATAAGCAGAACGGTTTTGCGGTTAGTCTATTTTTTAAGTTTTATGCCTTTGACAAGCTTTGCCCATTACGCCTTTGACAAGCTTTGCCCATTTTCTGAGAGAACACCTGTTTGACAAGCTAATAAACATCCTGTTATGCTAATCCTGTTATGCTAATCCTGTTATGCTAATCCTGTTATGCTAACCTAGTGCCAGGAAGGTCGAGCCTAACACACAGATCCTTCTGCATGGCATGGGGAGGGACACACGGAGTCTTCCTCTTAGCCACATTAGGGCCCCCACTGAGTGGTGGGGAGGAGAAGCCGGCAACTGTTCCTGCCGTTGGTGGCTGGTCCTGTCTCTCCAAGGAAACCCAGCCAAACCTTTGAGAGCCACTGATACTCTGTGAAGATGCACAAGCCACTATGTTGTGTTCAGGTGCAGTGCATTCACTACGCACGCCTCCAGTCCTCCCCCTCCCCCATTTTCCCTTTTACTAGGTAACTTGTGTCCCTCCAGATGTTTTACACTAGGAGTTGCCCACTCCTGGAGTAGAAGTATCCCTGTTGCAGGTCTGTATTTAGAGCCCTGCCAGAGAGTTGCATAAAACTCTGACCTTAGGAAAAGTATTTGTAAGGGCATGTTAGAAATGTAAAAATGTATGAATGGTACAGAGAAAGTGAATACTTTCACACTTTGTCTCTATCTCTGACTCTCTGACCCTGACCCTCTCGCCGTACCCCAAATACTAAAAACTGAGATCATCTAAATTGTGGAAGAAGTAGTATGAATAAAAGGAAGTACCACTTCACACAATATATAGAGTATAGAATTTCATACCACAAGTTGGATACCAAGTGGGAAGCTTTAAAAATGCATTGGAACAATTCATGGAAAATAAGGATATCAGTGGCTACTAGTTCTTCTAGTATATATTACTTCCAATACCCAAGGCAGTAAGGGTCTGTGTACAAATTGTTAGGGAAGGTGAGAGAACTGTTAGCATACTATTGTATTCCTTTCCTATTACAGACCTCCCACTGACATCTGGCCTCTGTGCTGAACAGATTTTTGGGCTAGGTAGGATTCTGCTCTGATCCAAAATGGCTCTATATATGTTTTTATCTCAATATAAATAGTCTTTGTTTTAATAACAGCATTGCTGACTCTGAACAAGTCACCAAGATTCAACAGAAACACACCCATCACTACATTGTTGCTGAATCTAGTAGTACTTAAAGTAGTCAGATCAAATATATTGTTTTGGATTGGTTTGTTTCCTTTTCTTCCTCCCCTAGTGGCCCGTGGCTTTCCAGGAAGTGGCAGTATATTTCACCCAAGAAGAGTGGGATCTTCTAGACGAGGATCAAAGGACTTTATATTACAGTGTCATGCAGGAGAATTCCCAGAACATGGCCTCACTTGGTAAGAATCTAATTCCCATTAGGAAAAATTCACATGCATTTTGAGCCCCTGGCAGATGTAGTTTCTGGGCAACACATGCTGATACTTCCAGAGGCTGTGCTCGTCCCCGCTCATGTGGTTTGGATTGACCTTTACAAGCTACCGCTGCAAAACCAAACTACCAAAGCAAACCTGAAAATGAGTTCAGGGCGCCTGTAAGCACACAAGTTGGCTCAGTCTGTAGTGGCGCAGCTAGAAATCAGAACGGCCCTGAAAACAGCAGAAAAGTATTACAGGAACAAGCACATAGTCTAGTAATAAGAGTGGCTGTTCTGATAGATTTCGTTCTGAATCCCGGAGAAGAATCTGTTGTCACATGGAAGGTGAAGCTCAGTTTACTTTGCTTTAAAGTCTTTGGCTGAAACGAGGGGCCGTGGCTCACTCACTGAGCTCATGCTCTGCACGCATGAGGCCTCCTGGTCCAGTGGCTGCCTTCTCCAGGCAAAGAAGGATTGGGCAGCTAGTGACAGGAGGGAGCCTAGAAAGGGGCTGCCAGTCAGAGTGGACAGTACCAGGCTAAATGAACTTGTTACGACAGTTTTTAATGCTAGGCGGCTCTTACAGAAATCCCATATCCCCCCGCTGCTCCTCCATTGCCCCCCCCCCTTCGTTTAACTCAGTTTTCCCCTTTTTAAGGCCCTCCTAACCATGGGTCTATCCTCCAGGTGCTTTGGACTACAACTCCCCTGATGCCTAACCATTGACTGCGTTGGATCATGATGACTTTTCTTCTTGTTTTTTAAAAGTCTTACTTGCATGAGCTTATATTTAATAAGCAGTTTCTAAATCTTTCCCATGCTTTTGCTTCTTTCCTGTGACGCAGAATTGCCACCTCCAAATCCAGACAAGATTTTCTATAACCCTGAATATGACACAACATTATGGATGGAGCAGGAGGAAAAGATTCAGGAGTCTGAGGAGGGGAAGAGCCCAAGAGGTCTGTGTGCTGGTGAGGTGTTGGATCGATAAACCCCTCTGGAATAAAGGTGTAAGGCGAACGCAGGAACAGGGCAGCAGGGGAAAGAGGTTGTGGAGTCAGGTTACTCAGGTGGTTCTGGCCAAATATTTTGTCAGACATCACACCCTACCTGAGATCCAAAGTATGACTATGCCAGCTCTGGTGTACCTTCCGTGTCTTGCTTTGGTTTTTCTTCTAATTTATTGCACCAAGGAGTGTGAGGAAGTGCAGAACTGCTTCAGGTTTCCTCCTCATGTATTTATTTATTTGCACATTTATATGCCTCTCAATAGCCTGACAAGACTCTCTGAGCAGCTAGAGAGCCACTGTGGTGTGGTGGTTAAGAGTGCTCGACTGGGACTCAGGCGATCTGGGTTCTAGTCCCTGCTCAGCCATGGAGCCAACTGGGTGACTTGGGCCAATCGCAGACTCTCAGCCCAACCTACCTCACAGGGTTGTTGTTGTGGGGATAAGATGGAGGAGGAGATGTAAGCTGCCCTGAGCCCTTTGTAGGAAAATGACAGGATATAAATCGATAAATAAATAAATACAGAGCAAGCAATGCAAGTACAAAGTCCTTGCTATGAACCTTTTTCATATCAAATCATGTCAAGAGCTAGGAAAAGATCTCTCCAGAAGCAGGAAAGGGGCAACAAAATGGAAAATAAGATTCAATTGTAAATACATGTGAAGTAATGAATATTGGGGCAAAAAACCCCTTCACATATATGCTGCCAAAGCCTGAATTGGCAGTGACTGGCAGGGAAAGTGATCCTGGGGACACGACAGGCGGCACAATGAAGGACAGCGAGCGCATTGCAGTGGAGAAGAAGGCACATTCCAAGGAGAGGATTATTGGGAATGTGATTGAAGTAAAACAGCCATTATTATATTGTTGGTACCATGATGTGCTGCAGCCACACCTATAATACCGTGCACCATTTAGCCTGCCTCATTGCAAGCGTGACAACATAAACTCCAAACAGTGCAGGAAAGAGCAATCAAGCACGTTTCCTACAAGTGACCTGACCTTGCCTGCCTGCCCCGAAGCCCCGTTCCCCCAACAGCCACACCGCCCATTAGCCCTTTCATATTTCCCTTGGTGCCCTTTATTGCCTATAGCACCATGGCCAACTTCCACTGACGTTTTCTTTGTTCCTGCAGATGATGGGCCAGAAGCGAGGAACAGGAGGAAGAACGCTTGGCAGGAAGAATACGCAGCAGATCAGCTGCATGAGGCGCTGTGGTGGGACATCTTCTTTGATTCCGAGATGTCCAAAGTGCTGGATATCAAGTCAGTAAGGCCGGAGGGGACATTACCAGAGCTGGCCCAGGTCTGTGCAGTTCCCAGAAAAATGATGAGAAGCGCGCCACAAATGGAAATCGGCGTGTCACAAAGAAACTATGCCTGCTCTGTGTGCGGGAAAAGTTTTGATCGGCGTTCGAACTTGATTAAACACCAGAGGGTCCACACCGGGGAGAAACCCTATCCCTGTACTGAATGTGGGAAGTGCTTTGACCAGCAGTCCAACCTCAATGTCCACTTGCGAGTTCATACGGGAGAGAAGCCATACAGCTGCCCCGACTGTGGGAAAAGATTTAGCATCAAATCCCACCTGCATGGACACTGCAGGATCCACACGGGAGAGAAACCCTATGAATGCAGGGGATGTGGAAAGAGGTTCCGTGTGAAATCGTGCCTGAACAAACACCAGAGGATCCATATGGAAGATCCCAAGCTGTCTAGAGCAACTGAGATCAAATTAGTGGGACCTCAGGCAATATCACCAGAGCAGATGCAGGGCTATGCAGCTCCCCAAAAAGGAAATTTTGTTAAAATGATGAGAAGCAGGCCCCGAATAGGAATATCAGTGTCAAAAAGAAATCATGCCTGCTCTGAGTGTGGAAAGAGTTTTGATCGGCGTTCGAACCTAATTAAACATCAGCGAATTCACACTGGAGAGAAGCCCTATTCATGTGTCGAATGTGGGAAACGCTTTGGTCAGCAATCCAGCCTCAATGTCCACTTGCGAGTCCACACGGGGGAGAAGCCATATGGCTGCCCCGACTGTGGGAAAAGATTTAGCATCAAATCCCACCTGCATGGACACTACAGGATCCACACGGGAGAGAAACCCTATGAATGCGGGGGCTGTGGAAAGAGATTCCGTGTGAAATCTTGCCTGAATAAACACCAGAGAATCCATATGGAAGATCCCAATCTGTCCAAAGAAATCGAGACCAATTCAGTAGGATCTCAGGCAATATTACCAGAACTGATGCAGGGGTATGCAGCTCCCCAAAAAGGAAATTTTGTTAAAATTATGAGGAGCAGGCCCCAAATCGAAATTGCTGTGTCAAAAAGGAATCATGCCTGCTCTGAGTGTGGAAGGAGTTTTGATCGGCGTTCGAACTTAATTAAACACCAGAGGGTCCACACTGGGGAGAAACCGTATCCTTGTGCCGAATGTGGGAAACGCTTTGACCAGCAGTCGAACCTCAATGTCCACTTGCGAGTCCACACAGGAGAGAAGCCATATGGCTGCCCTGATTGTGGGAAAAGATTTAGCATCAAATCCCACCTGCATGGACACTACAGGATCCACACGGGAGAGAAACCCTACGAATGCGGGGTCTGTGGGAAGAGATTCCGTGTGAAATCGTGCCTGAATAAACACCAGAGAATACATACTGGAGAAAAACCATATAAATGCCTCACCTGTCAGAAAACTTTCACCTGCAGCTCTCATCTTATTCAACATCAGGTGACTCACTCAGGGGAGAAAGATTATGTTTGCTCTGAATGTGGAAAGAACTTTGCCAATAAGTCGGATCTTAAAAAACATCAGAGAATCCACACGGTAGAAAGACCTTATGAATGCCCCATCTGTGGGGAAAGATTCAGAAATGATACACAACAGAACAAACACCAGAGCATTCACCAGGTGCTTTAGAACACCAGTGTGCTTAAAAGTGCAAAGGCACCCCGGTCTTGTTTTCTTCAGCCAAGCATAGAGGTTGTAAATTAACTGAAACATCATCGACATTCCCAGTGAGAGATCTGCATTAAAAATGTCTTCAGGTTTTGAAAGACAACAGGGAATGTGCACCAGGAGTAAGCAGCAGAAATGTGAAACCACACCACTCGTATATGGTTAGATGTCAGTGAATTCATATGGGATTCAGCTCTTAGAAATGTCTTTATGGGGTGGAATGTGGGGAGCAGGAAGCATTAGGAAGTAAAGAGGTCACAGAACTCTTGCATGTTGTGATCACGGAGACAACTGAATTCCCTGCTGCTGCTGAAGATGTTTTCATATTGTTGCATCCTATGCTTATCCTTTGGCATCCCCCCCAAAAAAAATTCCTGGCAAAATGCCAATGATAGACATTCTGATGTTACCAAATCAGGTTTCATAGGTGAGCTTCTTCGCTCTCATGGGAAAAGCTTAACGGCTGTAATACTTCAGAAATAATAGAGCTGATGGCAATTAGCTACAGGTACAATATGTAATTCTAAGACCAATCAAAATCTAATTACTCTAATCACAGCAGAGATCCATACAAGTTAGTTTCTCCACTGCAGTTCTATGGTTCAGATCAAGGGGCTCAAATGATTCTTGGAATACCCATCCCAGTCAATCAAGACGTGGGGTCCAGAAAGAGACCTTAGTAAATCTACATTTCACCCAGACTTGAAATCTTTGTTGGTATGCCCATGCTACATGCTGAAGGCCAATCAAATCCAAGAGCAAAGACATAAATTCAAGAGTAAGTCTGAAGTAATTGAAGAAGCATATTTCAACAAGTATAGCTTCCCCTTTGGTATCTCTAGGCTACATGGCTCAAGGCCTATAAATGGCCAAGATTCAGGATCGGTTCACACTGGCTGGTATTCTGGACTATCGAAGACACAGAATCCATAAGAAACAAGAATTCAAAGTCTATGGAAAATATATTTTTGCTATATATAGATTTCAAGACAAGACACTGCAGGGGAAACAAACAAAGTCCATGTGAATAGTGCTTCTTATAGCTCAGAGGGAAGTCCCCAGATGAAGGGTTACAGGCAATATACAATGGACAAGAAAAGATGGACTTTCAAGACAATGTTCCAGGCAAAGGTTCCCTGCCAAGCGTTGCCTTAAAAGCACGGGTAGCTCCGCAGAACACACCTCCTGTCAATCTAATTGGCAAGGGATTTTAGACATGGTGTTTCTATTTCACCCCCCTGAGCTGATGTGTGATGCTTCTGAACCTACCCACCTGCTTCTGCTGTTTGGTCCTGGAGAGACTGTTGGCTGTCTTAACCATAGACGTGCCATTCAAGGTTGACTGCTAGCAGCCTGGATGACAGAGACTTAATTCCATCCCACCGATTTCTCTGAGAAAGCTGACAGAGATAAGCTCACATACATTCTGGCTTCCACAGACTGATCAGGCCCAAACCAGCCACCCCTCCTCACCATTATGTGAATAATCCAGCATAGCCAAGCTATGGTTTCAGGTTTATAATTACAGAACTGGGCCCCAAACTCTTCCAGAGTGCTTCTGACTAAACGGTAAAGGCCTGCCATGCTCTGGCTGGGGCTGGAGGGAGTAGAAGACAAGCCCTTTCCTATTAGAGAAGACCTGTGACATTCTGGCTAGGTGTGAAAGCCTCTTCCTTCCTGATAAATAGCTCAGTATTCTGCCTAAAACGGGAAAAAAGTGTACATGATGCTTATCCTCTAAGATCATGCCAGTGGAGGCCGTGAGAAGGACATCAGGTCCAGCCTGTGTTGAGGTTTAATTTACTCAGCAGTAGTAAATCTTCAGCCACTAACCTCAGTCCCCAAAGCCACACAGCAAAGAAAACTCTCCTGTCTTACAATGGGCACGTTAAGTGGACTCCAAACAGCGATGGATAAAGTAGGCGTATGTAGAGCTTAGCAACATCAAAAGCAGACAGATGAAACAGATTAGAGCAGGAGAAGGGAACATGGGCCTCCAGCTGTTTTGGTTCACAACTCCCATCAGCTTTAGCAAGCACAGGCCAAGGGTGTGGAATCCAAAACATCTGGATAGCCACAGGCTCCCTACCCTGATTACTTTAGGCAGGCTTGTGGCACTACTAACTAGAAAAGAAACAGTCCAAAAGGACTGCATACATTCTCTGGAATGCTGTTTTAGGCATCTACACAGCTAGTTCACTACACACCAACTCGGAACACTAACTGCTGCACGGGCAGAGCTGACGAGCGTGTCTTGCTCTTTGTACGCTCATTTGGCGTTTTAGTTTGCTTTCCTAGAAACCCCATGAGACAGATTGCAGCCACGCCCATTTTCATCATATCTGCAGCACTTTTCAGGGCATGGAGTGCTTTGTAATTCTTATTTATTTCTTCACACGTCAGCCCCACACAGTCAGAGTGAAAGAAAATGACGTGAAAGCAAGGACAAGCACCGAGATACTATACCTGAGCAACCTGAACCATGGTCTTTCACAGCCAGTACTGACACTTTTTATCCACAGCCCCACAGTGGTTTTGGAAAGTGGGGCTGAGCCCTTTTTGTGTCCACTGAAAGCAAGATTTGTTGTCGCAAAGACTGTCACTTTGCCACATAGCAGTGACCTTCGTATTAGATAACATGCAGGATGTTTGGGAGTTGATTTGTTACAGCTCGTGCTCTCTGTAATTGCTTCACTGATTTATCTTGGTAGTGTTTGTGTTTTGTCCGGGAGTCTGTGAGATTGTGCTAAATTCTGGAGATAATAAAAACAGAGAAGCATCAAATGTGGAGAGGCAGCAATTAATTTCCAAAAGGAGGGGTGGCTCAACACTGTTCTACTTCAAAAGTTCAGGTCTCTGCTGGGTTAATTAAAGCCTTGTTTGTGACTTCAGATGAAAGCATGGTAATCCTGCAAACCTAGCCATTGCAGCAACACATCAACACAACATTGCTGAAGTACTTATGGCTGGCAATGTCTTGGTGATGGAACTTGTGCAAGAGAAATCCCCTTCCTGAAAAATGTTCAAATGTGAATTTCCTGGTCTTCTGTCAAAAAATGTGACCTATTCCAAGATCAGCTTCTGTACCAGAGGACTTGACAGTTGCTAATGCAGCACCGATTTTTAACTGAGATGCTGGGTGGATCGGGGAACTTGCAGGCCAGTTAGCTTAATATCTGTTCTGGGTAAATTGATTAGCAGCATTGCTAAAGATGAAGTTAGTAAGCATAGAGAAGACCAAGGGCTGCTGAAAAAGAATCCGTGTGGCTTCTGCAGAGGTAAATCATGTCTCACCAATGGACCAGTTAGACTTCCAAAAGGATTTTGACAAAGTCCTTTGCCAAAGGCTCCTTTGACTTGGCAGTCATGGAAAAAGAAGAGAGGTCCTGTCTCAGATCAGCAAGTGATTAAAAGACAGGAAAGAGAATAAATGAATAAATTCTCTCAAAGGAGGGGTTTAAACAATGGGGCTCCATAAGGATCTCTACTGGGACCAGTGCCTTCCACCTTTTTCATAACTGAGCTGGAATTCGGAGTCAGCAGTGAAGCAACCAAGTTTGCTGATGTTACCAAATTATTTAGGGTGATTAAAACAAAAAGGGATTGTGAAAAACACCAAAGGGATCTCTCCAAACTGGAAGAATGGGCACCAAAATGGCAACGGTTCAGTGAAGCATGTGAAGTGTTGCATGTTGGGGCAATAACATCCCAGCTTCATGGAGACACTGGTGGAATGAAGAACATAAGAAAAGCCATGCTGGGCCAGGCCAAAGGCCCATCTAGTCCACCATTCCATGCAGTGGCAGCTGCCCATGGGGTTCCCCAGGCAAGATGGTCCAAGGCCTCGCCTGCCCAAGCTGCTCCGCGCCGTGCATGCAGGCGTGCCGCCTCTGGCAGAGGAGGTAGCACACAGACCGCGTGGCTAGCAGGCACGGGTAGCTCCTCCCTCACTAATCTGCCCAAGCCCTCTTTAAAGCCAGCCGGATTGGCAGCCATCGCCACTTACGGCAGCGAATTCCATAGTTTAACATGACTACTACCGCCACCACTATTATTTTCTATACCACCCATAGCTGAAGTTCTCCGGGTGGTTTACAAGAGACGTTACAGCAGACTTTAACTACACACTGTGCGAAGAAGCCCTTCCTTTTATCTGCCCTAAGCCTCCCACCAAACAGCTTCATGGGATGACTCCAGGTTATGGGAGAAGGAAGAAAACGTCTCCATCTACATACAATGCATTATTTTAAGCAGCTCTAGCATGTCTCCCCCTGCTTTTTTTCTAAGCTGAAGAGTCCCAGCTGTCGTAGGCACTCCTCGCCCCCTGGCCATTTTTGTTGCCCTGCTCTGTAAATTTCCCCACTGAATAATGTCCTTTTTCAGATAAGGTGACCAGAACTGAACACAAGTTTCAAAATGTGGTCACAACCAAGATGGATAAGGGAAATAAGATCGTGGCCATTCCCTTTTCCATTCTGTTCCTAATTATGGCTAGCGTGGCACTCACCCTCTTCACAGCAGCTGCGCACATTTTCATTGACTTGCCCACTACGACCCTGAGATCCCTCTCTTGGTCAGTCACTGCTAGCTCAGGCCCCATCAGCAGATACAGAAAGTACCCAAGTTACATAGGTCCAAGGTATGAACAACCCGTATTTAAGAATGAACTGCCATAAAGCTTATTCAGTTTTAAAAATTACTGTGGAAACTCTTCATCACCACAGAAGAGTGGAAATGAAGGGAGAGAGAGGGAGGGCCTTCAAAACATCACAATAGAGAGGAAGCGAAAAGGCAGGGAGGGAGGCCTCTAATGCCAACCTTCCTGCCCCAGCCATCCGGAGAGGGAAATCTCTCGGCATTTCCTTGCTGCAAACAGGAGATGCTGGTGAGTTGGAGCAACAAGAATGCCTAGAGATATTCACAGTTTTTCCATTTGTCCGTGGATCCTGTGCCTCTAACACCCACAAATGTGGAGGGCCAGCTATCCGTGATCAGGCTTACATACAAATGTAACTTAAAAATGAATTTCCATTTTCTCAGGAAAGACTTCGTAGCCCAGGGACTGCCTGTACTTGAAGTTGGGATTTTTTTGCCCCATGTATTCCACACTTGCTTATGTTTAACCTCATTTGCCATTTTGATGCTTGTTCTCCCGGCTTGGAGAGATCTTTTTGGAGAGGCTCATAATCCCTTTTGGTTTTAACCACCCTATATAGCTTAGTGTCATCAGCAAATTTGCTCACTTCCCTACTTACTCCTAATCACAAATCATTTATGACTAGGTCAAAAAGCATTGGTCCAAATACAGAACCCTGGGGGACCCCACCGGTTCCAATATCTCCATTGGGAGAAGTTGCCATTTCTTCCCACCCTCTGCTTTTTGTTCTTTGGCCAGTTGGTGATCCAGAACAGGGCCCATCCCTGCTTTTCTTCCATGACTGCTTAGTTTGCTCAGGAGCCTTTGGTGTGGGACTTTGTCAAAAGCCTTTTGGAAGCCCTGGTAGTAAGCGTCTACTGCCACATCTATGTGCTTATTGACACTCCCAAAGAATTCCAAAGGGTCAGTGAGACAAGACTTCCGCTTGGAGAAATCATGCTGATGTTTTTCCCCGCAGGGCTGCTCCTCTGATCTGAGCTAGTCACTGACCAAGGAAGAGATCTCAGGGTTCTGGTAGACCCTTTGATGAAAATATCAGCCCTGTATTATGGCTGCTGTTGGAAAAGGCAAAATCTAGACACAATGTGTTAGACATAATTAGGAAAAGAGTACAAAATAAAACTGCCAAGATTGTACTCCCCATAGGAAAAACCTAAAGTGTGTCCACAGTTGGAGCACGGTCTATGGTTCTAGTCACCCCACCTAAAAAAGGCTATGGTAGACTTGGAAAACGTATAGAAAGAGGCCATCTGAATAATCAAGAAGCTTAAGCAACTCACCTACAAGGAAAGCTTATAACACCTGAGACTGTTTAGGTTACCAGAAAAAAGTAAGGGAGGACCATCATGTAGGTGTACACAATTATCCATGGCACTGAGAGACTAGATAGGCAGATATCTAACACTAGAACCTGGGGCTATTCCATGAAGCTAATTGTTGGGAGCTTTTGGACAGAGGAAAGGAAGGATTTCTCCACACAACATGTGGTTAAACGCAGGATTCACGTCCACAAGATGTAGCGATGGCCACCGATCTGGAAGGCTTGAAAGGGAGATAGGACCAATTCATGGACCGGAGGGCTATGCATGGCCACCCGCCCAGATGGCTACATGCTTTCTGCAGTGTCGGAGGTAAGACACTTACGGGGAACATGGGCAGGAGGGTGCTGTGCTGCTCATGCCCTGCCTGTGGGGGTCCCACGGGCAGCTGGCTGGCCACGGTGTGAACAGGACGCTGGGCCAGATGGACCATTCCTTGGTCTGGTGCGGCAGGGCTCGTTCCACGCTCTTGCATTTTGGAGCACTGCCTGGGGCTGACGGGAGTTGCCACACAACCTTCCACCCAATGTCTTTATACCTAGGGTTTGTTGTGCTGCCCACAGAGACGGGAGGACAGAATTGGCACCTGTCTCTGCTCCTTGCTCTGGTTTCTGCATTTGCATCCCTGTAGCAAGGGCTGTTGCTGTTTTTAAGCATCTTTTTGGATTCGGAAGGCTAGCTTTAAATTCTGTTTCTTTTGTTCACCTTAAAATATAAGAAAAGATGGCAAGAACTTTTCTCATGTATGGGCGTTTGTATTATATTATTATACTACTGAGTTAAGGATTTCTACATATCATGAAAATACAGATCCCTGTTACTCCTAAAGCAAACCAGAGATTAGGTCTGATATGGCTGCTTCCTCCATTTGCACCTGGGAAGGAGGAAGAGCTCAGAGGGGCATATGATGAAGTGCCGTTGGCTATTCAGGTACTATTGTTACATCCAAAGAGGGTGTATTGTTCTAGGCAACCAATCAATGGCCAAAGAGCTTCTCCCTCATTTGAATATTAGCTAATATATGACAGCAGGGGCAGAGATGATCCAGAGGCATTCATCATTAAGTGCAGGTGAGCAAAGGCACAGAAACCGAAACAATGGCTGTTGCCCATAAGCAGAAGAAGGGGCGACCTCGGAAAGGAATGAAACGGAAACAGAAGAAGCAGCAGCGAAGAAAGCAGCACCTGGAAAAGTTGGCAATGAGCCGAGCGAGTGACCAAGCCTTCCTTTCCAGTGCCTTTTCTCCAAAGATGCAGCCGCCATTTTTCCTCGGCCAAGGAAAGAAGCCCCTGCCAATCAAGGGGAATGAGGAGGCCGTCTTTGCACAACAGTATGTCCTCACAAACCAAGACGGGCAGCAGCAATGCTTCCTCAGCAATTACATGTCTTCTCAAGCCACCCTGAGCACCAACAATGTGGCTCCCAGCATCGTGCTGCCTTGCAGGTCGCCCGTGGCGAGGTGGGCGGCCGCGATGTGCCCTCCGCCGCCAACGGACTTCGCCGGCGCTTTGTGGCAAGACGGGCAGCAGCAGTGCATCTGCAGCAACGCGGCCCCCTCCCCAGCCAGCTGTGCCAGGGCGGGCAGCGACCTCTGCACCCTCATCGCCAAGGACCTCCGCTACGAAGTGAAGGAGATGATGCCCAGGCAGTTGATGCCGTACCTGTTTGCCATTGACCCCAGTATGAATCCCTATTAGCAGAACATTGCTCCCTTTCTCCCTGGGCTGGTCTCTAAAGGGGGGAAGGAAGGGATGAAATTGACATGGCCGGCCTGAGAAAAATCCCATCAGCCACCTGAACGAAGACCT